GCCTACACGGAAAGAAAACATATACCCACACAAAACCCTGTGTGTGAGTGTGCTAGCAGTTTTATTTAATAATAGCCTATAACAGGCAAACAGATAACAATATGTGGTACTTCAGTATATGGAAACTACTCAGCAACAGAAAGAAACTACTGATATACACATCAACACGGATAAATCTGAAAAGCTTCATGTTGAATGAAAAAGCCAGTTTTAAAAGGCTACATACTGTAAGAATTCCATGTTTATATCATTCTATAGAAAATAACAGAAATCAGATCAGTGACTGCTAGGGGCTGGGGATGAGACACAGGGTAACTTTGTGAAGGTGTTAAAAATGACCCATTTAATGTTTGTGCTGGTGGTTACACTATTACATACATCTGTCAAAACAGAACTGTTCATTCAAGAAGAGTGAATTTTACTACTTGTAAATTATACTGCACACCTATTTTTTAAAAAAAGAATGAAATAATGCCATTTGCAGCAACATTGATGGACCTAGAGATTACCATACTAAGTGAAGTCAGAGAAAGACAAATATCAAAGGTTGTCACTTATATGTGGAATCTAAAAAAATGGTGCAGATGGACTTGTTTATAGAACAAAAACAGACTCCCAGGCTTAGAGGGCAGGCTTATGGTTGCCAAGGGAGAAAGGTGGGGAGAGGGATGAATTGGGAGGATGGGATTGGTATATGCACACTGCTAAAAGGAAAACAGATCAACAAGGACCTATTGTAGAGCACAAGGAGTTATACTCAATGCTCTGTAATAACCTAAATGGGAAAAGAATCAGAAAAAGAATAGATATATGAATGTGTGAAAGATGCTCAGTCATGTCCAACTTTTTGAGACCCTATGGACTATACAGTCCATGGAATTCTGCAGGCCAGAATACTGGAGTATCCCTTCTCCAGTGGATCTTCTCAACCCAGGGATCAAACCCAGGTCTCCTGCACACAGGCAGATTCTTTACCAGCTTAGCCACCAGGGAAGCCCAGATATATGAATATGTATAACTAAATCACTTTGCTGTACATCTAAAACTAACACAGCATTGTGAATTAACTATATTCCAATATGAAATTAAAAAGAATCAATGTGCCATTGTGCTGTTGAGACTGGACTGTATCTATTCATCTCCATTTCTTAACAGGGAACCCAGCCACCCAGGACTGTCTCCTCTCTTCATCCTTCCCAGGGTGAGCCCTGAGTAGCCTGGCTTTTATGTCAGAAGACACGAATGGACACCAGGCAAGGGGAGTGGCAGGGGGTGAGGGTGGAGAAGACTGTCAGTTAATCAGTCACCTGGGGTCCCCTGGTGGCCCAGAGGGTAAAGAATCTGCCTGCAATGCAGGGGACCCAGGTTTGATCCCTGGGTTGGGAAGAACCCCTGGAGAAGGAAATGGCAATAGTATTCTTTTTTTTTTTGTCCACTCCAGTATTCGTGCCTGGAGAATTCCATGAACAGAGGAGCCTGGTGGGCTGCACTCCATGGGGTCACAGAGAGTGGGACACGACTGAGTGACTAACACTTTGACTTTTCAATCAATCACTTGTTAAGTTCCAGGCCCTGTCCACCTTGTAGAAACGATCTGAAAGCCCATGTACCCTAGAGCCCAAGCATTCCACAACAAGAAAAGTCTCCACAATGGAAAGCTGTGTGTCACAGTGAAGAGTAGCCCCCACTGGCTGCAACTAGAGAAAGCCTCCACAAAGCAGCAAAGACCCCGTGCAGCCAGAAATAAATTACATATACACATATATAATATCATATGTATCATGTATCTACACACACACACACTATTTGGTCCCCATAACAACCACCTGGGTGGATACTCTTCTTGGCCTCATTTCCAGAGTAGACACTGAGGCAGAGGGAAGTTAAGCAACCCAGCCAGGAAGGAACCAAGATGAGGTTTAAACCCGTGTGAGCCTGATCCCAAAGATGAGGTTTTTGAACGTCCCACTGCTGAGTGTCACATGATAATTCTGGTTTTTGTTTTTAACCTCACACCTTTGCTTCCTATACCTTCTCCGGCGTCAGGCATGGGGTGGGGAGGGAAGTGGGAGGGGGAATCTGGATGGGGAACACATGTAAATCCATGGCTGATTCATGTCAATGTATGTCAAAAACCACTACAATATTGTAAAGTAATTAGCCTCCAACTAATAAAAATAAATGAAAAAAAAAATTTTTTTAAATACCAAACAAACAAATTCCAGGAATTCCCTGCACACAGGCTCCTTCCTGTCTCTCGACCATCTCCAGCTGGAATGCCTGAGTTCTGCTCTATCGTCTGAGTGAACTTGACTGAATCGGACCAATGTGGGGTGACTCACAGCTAGGAAGAGCAACCCCAAGTACAGACAAGGTCAGTCGTCTATGGCCACCACGCCGGGTGAAGCTGCACCTTGTAGCCCCGGCCGGAACCCTTCCGCGGGACCAGGGCAGCGCCCCCTGCTGGAAGGCTGTCGCAAGCGAGCAGAGATGCCGCATACCTGGACTCACCAGGACACTCCAAGTGATGCCTGCCTTTCAGAGTCAGCAGAACTTGGCAAGAGCTGGTGGCACTGACCTTCTCTGCTTCAGGGAGGTGACCCGAGTCTCCTGCGCTGGCAGCCAATGTGGAGGCTGTGATGCAGGCGCTCCCATTGCAGCATCCCAGCAGGCCCACAGGCATGAAGGGCAAGAGGAACCCTCCTGACCATCTCTGGTCCACCTTAGTGGACCCTAGCACTAGTCATTTCCCCCACTGCAGGTGCTCTGGTTCTTCTAGGTGCTGATGCTTTGGCATCTCGGCTGGTTTGGAGGTGGGCGCCTCCAGCAGAGTCCCTTATTCTTGGTCAGGGTTTGTGGTGGATCCTAAGTAAACTTCACACGGAGCTGATCTCCTGGGCTAGGCTGGGGAGCAGGCAGGAGGCAAGGAGATGGCAGGGAAGAGAAGACGGGCAGGAATCCCTGTGAACAAGCACAGTGCCTTGCACTTGGAAGGTGAAATGGGGGACAGCAGGCTGTGGGGTAGAGGTGATGTTGCAGACTCATGGGGGAGGACCCTGGAGCTAGCATAGGGGTGCAGGAGGCATTTTTATACGTTTCTTGGCTGTGAAAGCTGCCCCTCTTGTGTGGTTCGGCACATGGTCTTCGTGCTTCCTGCCCAAGTCATCAGGACCATGACTTCCTTTTTCCAAGCAGTAGCCCCAGAACTTAGAAACAGCCATTGACTCCCCACTTGCCAGAAGCTCCATCCCAAACTCTGTCTTCTCCTCCTCCCCACCTGAGGGCCTTTCCTCTTTTACCTGGGTCCTGCCTGCCTTCTGATGTCCAGCTGAAGCCTTGCCTCCTTCAGGTAGCCTTCCCTGATCACCCTACTTGTGCTGATTTACATCTCCTTGGAATTTCATAAGCATCACCATCTGTACCTGCCACTTGGCCTCTGCACAGTGCGTTTACCTTGTTAGACGTTCACCCTGTTCCTCTGGTTTTCTCCAGTGGGCCAAATGAGCAGCATAAGGGCCTTGTACTCCACAGCTGGGAACAGAGCTATACCCCAGGAGGAGGTGTCTGGTTGCAAGGAGACTTAAGGAAAGGGGATTTCCCATGAGGGCAGGGAGACCCTAGGAAGCCAAACACAGGGTGTGCCCCAGTCATGATGAAGTAGGCTGCTACTGCTTCCCTCACCCAGACTCTCCAGGTCTTCGTGGTCTCAGCCTCTCTCTGAACATCCACATCTTTCTCCTCATCAGCCTCCTCTGCTTTAGGCCAAGACGTGCATATCGAGGCTCTGGCTTCAAACCCTGTGAGTCCTGTGCTCAGTGGAGTAAGACTGAGGCCCCACTCCTGTGGGCTGGGGGAGAGAATCTGTTTGACTCCTGGGTCAAGGGACTTCCTGGTGCTATCACCAGAGGTCAGCAGGGCAGAGTCACATGAGCTGTGCAAGGGCTGGGATTCTGGGGAGTGTGGTCAAGTCCTCCAAGGAGGGAGTGGGGTTTGGAAGAAGTGGGGTATTTCTAGTACAGGAAGGGAGATGGGTGATAAGGGCCGATGGACCGCAGCGCCAGGGCCGAGGCTCCAGGTCAGACCCTTCACTTCTGCTCCTGCCCTTTCTGACATACTGGTCACAAACTGACTGCAGACTTCCCCAAATTCTGTTGACTTTTCTCACTTGCTCACAAAAGTAGGTGAGAGGTGCCAGAAGTTCTGGAAAGACCTGAGTTCTAATCCAGACCTGCCATTTACTGGCTCCGTGCATTTGGCCCAATGACAAAAGATTTCTGAGTGTCCTCATCTGCAAAATTGAGGTTATGGAAATAGTGGTGTGCAGTTGTGTGTGGTAGGAGAGAGTGGCAGCTGCAGGAGCTGCTGGAGGTGAGGGTTTAGCTGAATATTGGCATCCACGTGGTAGAGACCCTGAGAGGCAAATCTTTTACTGTTTTTCCATCACATCATGATGTTATCAGGATGGCAGGCCATTGAGTAATTAACAATGTTTCTTTTATGCTGACACATAAAATAGATGCATCTTATAACTAATGGCATCCTGCCTACATGCTAAGTTGCTCGGTTGTATCTGACTCTTTGTGACCCTATGGACTGTAGCCCGCCATGGGGTTCTCCAGGCAAGGATACTGGAGTAGGTTGCCAAATCCTTCTTCAGGGGATATTCCCAACCCAGGGATCAAACCCGCATCTCTTATGTCTCCTGCATTGGCAGGTTTGTGTGTGTGTGTGTGTGTGTGTGTGTATGTGTTTTACCAGTAGCGCCACCTGGGAAGCCCAATGGCATCTTAGAGTTGGTGAAATAACAGTTTCAGTTGTGCTGATCTGAGGCAAACAGCAATATCACTGGGTAAAAATGTCCTCACCTGCCCAAAGGGGACAGGCTCCCTCCTTTGGCCAGCTGCTATGAGGTTAAAATGAGGCCACACCTGAGGTGCCTGCCCCTCACCTCCCTCCCATTGCTGGGGCAAACAGGCTTGTCCTGAGCTGGGAGCTTGTTTGTTTATCTGTGGAGAGGGAGGCCTCTGCACCGAGGGCCAAGTAAATATTTGTGGTTATGGATTAACTCAAGTTCCAGGCTGTCATGGCGGCAGGAGGGCAACCTTGCAGTTTCTCCGTGGCCCACTCCAGTAAGTCCCCTTCGAGGCAGGTCTGTGACAGGGGCTGGAGGAGGGTGAGCTGGCCTGACGGTGAGAGCTTCTCACCAGGGTTTGAGAAGCCGGCTGGAGCTTGGCGTAAGGAAGTCGCAGTTCTGCCAGCAGCCAGGCCAAAGCTCTGGTTGGCCTTCCTTGGGCTTGGGTGCCATGGTTCCCAGGGTCCTTCTTCGCAGACTCTGAGGGAGGCGGAAGCTGGCCAAGGGCCTCCAGACCTCAGCGCCATCACGGCAGCCTGGAGCCCCGGGGTGCCCGCCCCACCCCCACCTCTACTTCTAAAGCCTTTAAACAAAAGTCAGAACTAGCCTCAGAGGGAGTCAGCGAAGGTGGGAGGTCAGCAGGGAGGGGGTGCTGGCGGGGCACCCCCTCAGCCTGGGGGGCAGTGGGGCGCCTAGGTTTTGTGGCCTTGGGGCGCACCTGGTGGTTTGGGGCAGGGGTTAAAGTTCCAGGCCTGGAGCCACTCGGGCCTGAGCTCGAGCACTAGCTCTTCCACTTCCTGGTTGGGAGTGTTTGATGAGTGACTTCTCTCCTGTGAGCCTCAATCTCCGCTCTGGGAAATGGGGTGACACCGTGAACACCTACCTCTTGAGTGGTGGTGAGCCTTAGCTGAGATAGTAGGAGCCCGTGCTTACTGAGCATTTGCTATGCGCAAACCTATTCAACAGCTTTACGTAGATTAACTCGTTTAATTCTCACAAGAACCATATAAGGCAGAAATACAGTTTTCCCATCCCTTTTACAAACGAGGAGACCCGAGGAGCAGTAAGGGGTCTTGCCCAGCAACCCTGTCCTGGAGCTGGGATTTGCTCTGACTTGGTGACCCGCCCTCTGAACCCAGTACAAATGGCTTGAAAGGCACCATGAGTGTCCAATAAATGTTAGTTATTACTCTTGGCCTGGCCTGTAGATCGGCAGAGGGGCCACCCCCAGACCCTCATCAGGGGAGGGCACAAACCCTTCTGTGCCAACCCCTTTGATCTTCACTAGGTTGCTGCCCCTCCCACTTCCTCTCTTCACCCTGCAGACTCAGGTCGTGTGACCTTAGCTCCGTATAGAGAAGCCGAGGGAATAGTGACCAGGGACCCCTGACCCCAGCTTCTGCCCTCACTACCAGTGCGCGCGCATGCGCGCGCACACACACACACACACACACACGCGCGCGCGCGCGTGCACGGGAGGCTTGCTCACTCAGCTCCCACGGTGGGGGGAGGGGGTGGCGGTGGAGGGAGTGGGGGCCGGTGGGGCTGCTGGAAGCTCAGAAGTCCTCCTCAGACAGGTGGCTGCAGCTTCAGAATGTGGCAGCTTACAAGCCTCTTACTGTTCATGACCGTCTGGGGAATTTCCAGCACACCAGCTCCTCCCGGTAAGGCCGTGCTCCCCTTCCCCACTCCCTGGCACTCTCTTCATACCTTTCGCCACCTCCTCTGAGCCTCAGGGTGACCATGATGAGCAGGGAGGACCTGACTGGGGGCAGAAGCAGCAGGGCCCCCGGGGCCTGAGGACTGAGCTGGTGGCTGGGAGCCCCTGGGGGCAGGCCCTTCCTCCTCCCCGGGGCGGGGGGCGGGGGGGTGGTCACACGGTCCCCCGGCTTTCCCTCTCCACTACTCACTCCCTCAACTGTGTAAACTCCGGGCCCAGCTGCCACCCATAGCACCCCAGGGCAGCCTCTCCTCCTAAAATGCTCATCTGCTGCCCTGCCCCAGCTGCTCGCCTGGTCAGCCGAGAACAGGAGGCCAGAATGCAGGGGGAGGAGAGGCCTGTGGGGAAAGCAAGCTACCTGGGTTATTAGGTGGGCCATTCCCCCATCCCCTGGAGTCACAACAGGCTGTTTCTTACATTTCTGCCTCTTCTTGAGCAGCTGGTCTGCCTGGGGTGTCTTCCTCCCCACCCCCACCCCTGGTCCATGTGTCTCCTAAGGCCAGACTCAGTTCCAGCACATCTTCCTTCCCTGAGGATGCCCTTCCGGGCCATGGCATCCTGGAGCCTCTCTTCCACACTCCCCAGCTTGGTCCCTCCACCCCAGCTATCCCCCTGCATCCAAGGCAGACACCTTTCAGAACCTGGGGGATATGGTGGTGCTCCCTGGGAGGCAGCACTGCTGCTCAGGTGTTCCCACCCAAGGGGGAGGGCACGGGGAATTCATCATGGGGTGGGGGAGGGGAGGGCAGGGAGGCTGCAGGGAGGCAGTCGAGACTGGGCGCCACAAGGGGTACTTGGAGGACAATGAGGCCCACTTAACTCTGTGCTTGAACAATACCCAGAGCAGTGAAAGTCGCTCAGTAGCCTCAGACTCTTTGTGACCCCACGGACTATAACCTGCCAGGCTCCTCTGTCTATGGAGTTGTCCAGGACAGAATACTGGAGTAGGTTGCTTTTCCCTTCACCAGCGGATCTTCCTGACCCAGGAATGGAACTGGGGTCTCCTGCATTGCAGGCAGGTTCTTTACCAGCTGAGCTACCAGGGAAGCCCAGTGATAGCAGTAGCACATGGCATTGGTCACTGGCTGCTCATTTCTGCGCCAGGCACTGTGCTATTTGTTTTACATGATTATCTCATCCTCATTTTTTGATGAATAAACCAAAGTGAAGAGAGGTAAAGGCTGGCTCAAGGTCACATGGAGATTGGGTTGGGTTCCGAAGGTCTGTCTGTCTTAGCGCATGCACTCTGAATGGTCAGTCCTATCCTCAGATGACTTGTCACCTACTTCGGGAGAAGGAGGACAGCAGGGGAGGAGGGGACTCAGGATGCAAACCTCCCCAGGGTCTCTCCCCAGTGGGGGCCCCTCATGGCAGTCCCCCCACCAAAGTCAGCTCCCCATCCCCATCCCAGACTCAGTGTTCTCCAGCAGCCAGCGTGCCCACCAAGTGCTGCGGATCCGCAAACGTGCCAACTCCTTCCTGGAGGAGCTGCGGCCCGGCAGCGTGGAGCGTGAGTGCTCAGAGGAGGTCTGTGATTTCGAGGAAGCTCGGGAGATTTTCCAAAACAAGGAAGACACAGTAAGGCCGCCCGACTGGGTGTAGAGCATGAGGCTCAGGGGTGGGACCTGGAGGAGCAGCCTGGGGTCCTTGGGAGGGGGGCAGTGGACACCAGTCCCTTACACTCCCAGCTTGCCGGGGGTGCAGCCGCGGAGTAAATAGCCTTAGGATCTTGGTCAGGGCACACGGGTCCAAAAAACAGAACTCTGCAATGAGCATGAAGAGTCTGGGGAAGCTTTGGGCTGGGATTCCCACTTAGTTCCACTGGAGGTAGTTCAGTCCCAGTTCACCTACAACTGGCCACCACTGCCTCCCCTCTTCTCTCTCCCTGTGACCAAAAGGCCACCACCTCTGCTTCCACGCTGCACCTGCTCATCAGGTGACCCAAGACTCTGATGTCTCTGCACACACACTCACTCTGTGCCCCAGATTCTCCAGGAGTGAAATCTGGTTGCTCATGGGATCTAAGGAAAGGGTCTGTCCTCTTTGGCCCCCAGAGCTTCGTGGTGGAGACCCTGAGGCAGTAGGGTGCACTCGTTAAGAGAGGTAGCTTCCTGATAGAAGGCTCAGACCCCCTCCAGCTTCAAGAGCTCACTTTAGCTTCTAGGACCTGGGGGTTGTGCCACCACCTGGGGGCCCCTCACGCTGTCTGTAGGCATGCCCTCCCATCCAGGGCTTTCAGGGCTGAAGGGGGAACTCTGGGTGGCTTCTTCTCTTGCCCTCCTCCACCACCTCCTTGACTAGATCCCCACGGACTCTTTCCTCAGATGGCCTCCTCTGCAGACGCCTAGATGGCTTTCTGCAGGCGTGGCCTGGGCACATCACACCCATCTAACCTTGGTCTCCAGCAGGGGGGCTTGTGGCCTGGGCATCAAGCCCAGCATCATCAAGCCCATCTCTGGGAATGGTGGTCCCAGCCCAGCAGCAGAAGTGCCACCAGGATGGTGGTTCAGTCACTAAGTCATGTCTGACTCTTGCGATCCCATGGACTGTAGCCTGCCAGGCTCCTCTGTCCATGGGGTTTTCCAGGCAAGAATAGTGGAGTGGGTTGCCATTTCCTTCTCCAGGGGATCTTCCTGACCCGGGGATCGTACCTGAATTCCTGGCAGATTTTTTTTTTTTACCAACTGAGTCACCAGGGAAGCCCAAACCTGGTTACAAAAGCAGACTTCTTGAACTAGCAAGCTGTGTCTCACCTACAACATCCTGGGGTCACTCAGCTCTGAGCACAACGGCTCAGGGAGACCAGACAGGTTGAGAAAGGAGGGAGGGGGCTGCAAAGAGACAGAGCAGGGAGCTTCTGGGTCCCTTCCGCTGCAGTGGCTGCTTTGGTGGCAGCCAGCACCCAGAGCAAGCTTCCAGGGCACGGGGGTCAGGTATGGGATGTGAGGTGGAGATGGCCAGAGAGGCAAGGAGGAGCCTGGCATTTCTCAGGATACAGCTGCCTACTCTCCCCCCACCCCCTGCCCCGCTCCTCCCCGGCTGAGGGGCTTGACCCCTCCTTGTATGGGATAATCGCTCCCCTGCCCCTTTAGATGCTGCCCTGCTGGACCTGGGCCAGCCCGGGGAGGGGTCCCAGGGGCTCCCCATTTACACAGGTGGGCTGACGGCCCCTGATGCCGCCCCTTCTCTCCGCAGGTGGCTTTCTGGTCCAAGTATAGCGGTGAGTGCGCTCCAGACCTCGGGCCACCATACCTCTGCCCCTCGGGGGTTTCTGGGTCGCTGGGGGAACCGGGAGCGGGCCGGCGGCCCGGGTGACGCCCTCTTCACCCCTCGTCGCAGACGGGGACCAGTGCGAGCACCGGCCCTCAGGGAGCCCGTGCGAACTCCCATGCTGCGGACGCGGCAAGTGCATCGATGGCCTGGGGGGCTTCCGCTGCGACTGCGCGGAGGGCTGGGAGGGCCGCTTCTGCCTGCACGGTGAGGGGGCGTGGACGGGGGCGGTGGGGCGGGGACCTCCCGGGCCGGAGCCGGCCGGGCGCTTAGAGCCACCGCGCCCCCGTGGCGCCCTCCTCCGTGTCTGCCCAGAGGTGCGCTTCTCCAACTGCTCGGCGGACAACGGCGGCTGCGCGCACTACTGCAGGGAGGAGGAGGGCCGGCGCCACTGCAGCTGCGCGCCCGGCTACCGGCTGGAGGACGACCACCAGCTCTGCGAGGCCAAGGGTGAGCTGCCTCAATGGGGACCGCACGGGATCCCCGGCCGGCGAGCGAGCCACCGGGCTGAGGCCTGGGCAAGGGAGATGGGAGAAGGAGGGTGTCCCCGACGGGTGTCGCGGGTGTCCTGCCCGCTCTTTCCTTCGCTTGCTCACCTTTCTCCAGGCGCCACCGCTCACCCTGCGGACGCCTCCTGGGGCAGGAGCAGAGGTAGCTCCTCGGCTGAGCGGATGGAGAGGGCACGCCTCTAGCACCCTCCACATCTATCGTGTGTGTGCTCAGTCATGCCTGACTCTTTGCGACCCCATGGACTGTAGCCCACCAGGCTTCTCTGTCCCTGGAGTTTTCCAGGCAAGAATTCTGGAGCGAGTTGCTATTTCCTTCTCCTGGGGATCTTCCCAACCCAGGCGCTGAACCGGAGTCTCTTGCGTCTCCTGCATCCGCAGGCAGATTCTTCACCAGCGGAGCCACCATCTTGGATGGCTTTATATCCCCCTTTACCTCTGGCTTCTCTGAAGAGAGAGAGCAACCTTGTTTTCTGTTTTCCTCTTTATACATTTTAATTTCTATCAGAGTTATATACTTACACAACACTCGGAGTTTGGCAACTCTTAACACGAATTTCAACAGGTTGTTCCTCAGTGTGGATCTTCTATTCACTGTGTAGCACCTTTTTCATGTGGAAATTCACATCTTCTACTTCTAGGAACATTTCTTTAGTTATTTCCTCGATGGCTTGACCTTCCTGCTTTCTCTGTTCTCTGTTTCTGCATCTTCTAATCAGATCTCTTTCCCCTGGGCTGATTTTCTAGTTTTATGATCTTTCTATTTTTCATCTCTTTGATTCTCTGTTCTTCTTTTGGGGAACTTACCACGACTTATAGTCCAGTCCTTTTACTGGAAAAAAAAAAAAAACCCAAAAAACAGAAAATCTAACTTTTTCTTTTGAAGTAATTAGAGTCACAGGGAGTTTCAAAGAAACGCCTGGTGAGCCTGTTGGCCAGTGGGCTTTTCTGTGAGACCATCTGAAGGCTCAAGTCACTGACAGAACCCTGTTGCCCAGATTCTTAGGTCTTTTGGCCATTTTCTGAGAGGAATCATCCGAACTCATGCGAGGGTGGTCCCAGCCTGGCTTGCAGCCCCTTGTGGGGGTGCAGGGGGGAGGAGCTGCTTTTGCTGGGTCTGCAGGTGTCTTCGTGACTTCCTCTGGTCAGCTTTGAGTGTCAGTCTTTCCTGTGGCGTCTCCATTGAGTCCTGAGCTCACAATCTCTGGCTCACCCTCTTCAGAGAATACACCTAGGTTCTTCTGTGGGGGTCAGAGAGGAGAGTCAGGTCACTGATGAGGGGTCGAGACAGAAGCCTAGGGCGCTAGCAGTTTCTTTGACAAACTCTCAACATTCCTGCCATACCACCTGCACAGCTTCCTCAGACACGCATGGAGGCTTCCTGGGCATCTATGGGGCTAAGCCGCCTGCTACTGCATCTCCTACTACTGGCTGAGGTTTCGGCTTTCTCAGACAACCAAGTCAGTTGCCATGTCCCTCAGCTTCTGGAATTTTGTTGCTGTTGTCTCATCTCCATTTTCTGTCACTGTCCAGTCTCCCTGCTGGTGGCTTCCCCTTGCTTCTGCAAGGCTGAATCTCTCAGCCCAGTGTGACAGGCCCTGGCCTCGGTTCTGTTCTGTGCTCTCTCCTCCTGGCAGAGGACCTCACAGCTGTGCTCAGAGCCACTCTGAGGCTCTCCAGGAGTGCCCACCTGCTCCTGCCCATAAGTCCTTACCTCTGTTAGGAGCTCGGTAACATCCCAGCATGAGACCTTACCACGCATCCCAGGGATTACTCCCAACAGCCCTGGGGTGCCCTGAACCCCCAGAACTTGAACAAGTGGCCCAAGGCCAGGCCACTGGGTAGAGATGCTGCTTGGCCTGACTCTTGCCATTAAGTGGCACTGTTTGTTAACTGGCTGACTGACCTGAGGGGCTGTGCAATTTGATAGAACTATGTGTCTAAGCATCATTTATCCTACAAGGCAGCAAATGAGGCTGCTGACAGGAGGTGGACAGACATGGGGGTCAGTCTTGGGAGCAGTGCCTGGCAGGCACTCAGCTGCTTTCTCCTGCCTTCAGTGACGTTCCCTTGTGGGAGGCTAGGGAAGCGAATGGAGAAGAAACGCAAGACCTTGAAACGTGACACAAACCAAGTAGAGCAAAAAGACCAGCTGGGCCCACGGATTGTCAACGGGCAGGAGGCTGGATGGGGGGAGAGCCCCTGGCAGGTGAGAGGAGCAGTGGCAGCTCACCATCTGGGTCAGGGGTCACTGAGCCCAGTTCCTGTTCTGGAGGCACCAGTGGGGAGGGAAGTGAGCCTTTGCTTGGGGTGGGGGAGGCAGTGCTAAGGGTAGAGGGTCCCGGAGAAAGACGGAGCTAACCTGATGAGAGAGGGGCATTTGGGCAGGGTGGAGTGGGTGCAGGGTCTGGGGTGGAGCAAGCAGGAAGAAGTATAGCTTTAAAAGCAGCTGGAGAGATAATGCTGTGCTGGTGGTGTTCCAGGCAGTGGCCTGGCTGAGGGGAGCAGTGTTTGCATAGCAAAAGGCTAGGAGGGAGGGTTGACCCCTGAGCCCCTCTCCAGCTTCCCCATGGAAACTCACACTTACCTGGTGTCTGACTCCCAGGCACTGGGGGTTAGGGTCCCCAGAGATCAATAACCTGGGGACTGGTAGGTCTTGGGGATCTCACACCCCTAGGAGGGTCAGGATCCTAAACACACGGCAACCCAATGGGACCAGAGCTGGGATGGCTGGTAGGACAGGGGTTGAGGAAACCTGGAGGGGGACCCCCAAGGCCTCCCGGGGCCCTCAAAGGCTACCCAGAGGACTCAAGGCCCAGCCTTAGCCATCAAGGGTAGGAAGAACTCTCTGCATGCTGCTGAGGGTGATTATAGGAACAGCATGGGCAAACGTGGAGAGACACCCTGGAACAGGAAAACTCTATCAAATGTGCAGAGGAGAAAGTGCCCAGTAGTCCATGCTTGTGTGACCAGGGAACCCAGGAAAGACCTACTTATGCAGCCAGTGCGTTGAGCTTGAGAACCATACCTAGGGCTGTGCCAAGACCCCGGAGGCCTGAGTGGAGCTGTCAGAAAGTTGTGTTGTGATGTCATTGCCCGCCCCCCCCCCCCTTCCAGGCAGTGCTGCTGGACTCCAAGAAGAAGCTGGTCTGTGGGGCAGTGCTAATCCACATCTCCTGGGTGCTAACAGTGGCCCACTGCTTGGAGAACCGCAAGAAGCTCATCGTCAGGCTCGGTGCGGGCTGGAAGCAGGTGGGAGGGTGGCTGGGTTTGGGGAGCCTCGTCTCTGGGGGGCTTGAACCCACACAGAAGGCATCTGGTGGGAAGAGGGCTGTGTGCTCCCAGCCTGCCCCTCCCATGGTGGGATTTTAGACACCATGACACAGGCTCGGTTTGCACATAAAGGGTTCTCTTTGAATCTGGTAGCCAGGTGTTTACATTTGTGTGTTTGCAAGTGAGGGGGTTACACACATACTTGTGTCTTCACTCTCACTGTGTGGAGCAGGCTGTGTGTATGTATCTACAGCATCCTTGGGTGCAGAGACCCAGAAGGTATCCACAGGGCCTGGTCTCAGGGCCACGCTTCACACAGATTGACAGCGACCGACTGTGCCTTTGGGACCCTGGCATCTGCCACAGCAGGCAGTTGCTCTCCTGCAACAGCCCAGGGCTCCCCGAGCCTGGGCCCCACTCTATCAATTTCTGGGGGTGGGGCTCTCACTCCAACCATCATGCAAAAAGAAGGAAAAAGATATGTATTGAGAATGACTGACCAGACCCTCGCTCTCTGCCATTATGTCCAGCACAACCAAAGGCCAGTGGCCTCCTGTGGGGCTGGGCTTGGAATAAGAGCCCCACCCCCACTTACCAGAAGCCATCTGATTCACCTGAGAAGACCTTGTGTCTTGTGTGTGATCCAGATCTTTCTTTGCTGGTTAGAGCCTGTGTCTAGCTGGCCCTCCTTCTCTGGGTCCTGCTGTTCTTGCCCTGCCCCCACCTCAGCAGGCACCCCATTTTCTCTTTGAGGTTCTGGTCTATGTTCCAGGTTTTCAGGGAGCTTCCCTGCTGACTGCCCACTGCTGGTCACTGCCCAAGCCTCACTGCTGCATCTCTGAGCCAGTCCTGAATTCAGACCAGTGTTTGCCCCTTTAGGATGGACACTCATGGGCTGTTAACTTTGATAGGGACCTGAGGGACAGCCCTGTGTCCCAGGGCCTGCCAGGGCTGCATGGTGACCACTCCCACTGTGGACCCATTCCCTGCCATCCATGAGGGCCTGCAGGAGCAGGGCAGTCCTGCTAGCTTCATTGGGGCCCCTGGGGAAGGAAGTTTCCCCAGGCTCACTCTGACAGCCCCTCTGCCCTGCAGGGGAGTATGACATGCGGCGCTGGGAGAGCTGGGAGGTGGACCTGGACATCAAGGAGGTCATCATCCACCCTAACTATACAAAGAGCACAAGTGACAATGACATCGCCCTGCTGCGCCTGGCCCAGCCTGCCACTCTTTCGCAGACCATTGTGCCCATCTGCCTCCCAGATAGTGGCCTCTCTGAGCGCAAGCTCACCCAGGTCGGCCAGGAGACTGTGGTGACAGGCTGGGGCTACCGTGACGAGGTCAAGAAAAACCGCACCTCCGTCCTCAACTTCATCAAGGTCCCCGTGGTCCCGTACAATGCATGCGTCCACGCCATGGAAAACAAGATCTCTGAGAACATGCTATGCGCCGGTATCCTCGGGGATTCGAGGGATGCCTGTGATGGGGACAGCGGGGGACCTATGGTCGCCCTCTTCCGTGGCACCTGGTTCCTGGTGGGCCTGGTGAGCTGGGGTGAGGGCTGTGGGCGCCTCTACAACTACGGCGTTTACACCAAAGTCAGCCGTTACCTTGATTGGATCTATGGCCACATCAAAGCAGAGGAGGCCCCTCTTGAGAGCCAGGTGCCTTAGCATCCCCCATCACTTGTGTCTGGACCCCAGAGGACACCCTTGGATAGGGGCTGGATTGTTGAATGGCAAGATGTTGGACATTAAAAAGGGCTTGCTACAAGCACACCAGCTACGGCTCTGTCTTTTCAACCTTTTTTTTGGGCTGTTCTGGAGGGGAGTATTTTTGGAGCATGTACTGTATGCCCCACACTTTATGAACAGAGTCTTATTTAACTCCTACAGCACCTGTCTGGGGTAGGAAGGAGCGTATCCGAGGTTTGTGGCATCTGAAGCTGGTAACATGTAGGAGAGCTTGCTTAATGAAAAAGAATACAAAATGGGACTACAAAACTGAGAGCCCCTTCCAGGACTTTGGAAGGAGTTTGTGTGAATCAGGGGTCCTGATCCAGAGTAAACCCACCTCTGAAGGTAGAGATTGCAGCTCATATTGTAGGGGAAGAAACAGATTCAGGAAGTTTTGCTTTGTGAAGCCAAGACCCAAACTAGGTCTGATTTCCATCTGGCTGTCCCCCTCTCATCCTGCTGGCTTTGGAGGCCAGCATTGGCCTGGTGTGAGGAGGAGCCAGAGACCCAGAGGGGTTGGTTGAATCCAGAGTGAGCTCACACTGTAAGTGGTGAAGCTGTTTAAGAACAGTGTCACACAATCAATAAAGAAGAGGCTCTGTCTTGACCTGGCCTTATAGGCGTACCTGAGTGAGACAGAGAAGTAAGTTAGGATGCATCCAATGAAAAGGGATAGTGGTGAGATAAAGCCAAAAGAATTAGTCTAAAGTCATCAGATTAGTCTAACTCTATGTATGCCTCAGGCAAGTTACTTCAGTTTTCTGAGCATTAGTAAAATGAAGATTAGATTGACAGTGGTGGTTCTCAACCTTCACTGTACTTTTGAATCTCCTAGGGGGCTTTCAAAAACACATCCATCCAATTTCACCTGCAGAGATTCTGATTTAGATGATTTAGATGGGGAACTAAGACACTGATATTTTTAGAATTCCTCAGGTCTCATTTTAATGTGTGACTAGGGTTGAAAGGCACTGACCAGATGGTCTTTAAAGACCTTATCTACTTGGGTAGGTGCCATGATCCTCAGGGCCAATGAATATAAAGAAAGTTCAGCACAGAGAGTTTCCTAGGGGTCCAGTGGTTAGGACTCAGCTTTCACTACAGTGGCCTAGGTTCATTCCCTGGTCAGGGAACTAAGATCCTGCAAGTCGCAGGGTACAGCCAAAAAAAAAAAAAAAAAAAAAGGAAAAGAAAAGAAACAATAAAAACAAAAAACAGTACAGCACAGATCAGTCAACGGTACAAGAAAACTTGACTTATGATTACACCCCACTTCTCAGGATCACAGCTGCTGCATACAGACCAGAAGGGACACCAGGACCCACTGAATTCTCTATGTGAAACACAAGGAAATAAGTGTGGTGGAGAAGGGGCCTGTAGGATTCATCCCCTTAGGACCCGGGGAAGGGTAGGTGGGACTGCTTGGGGGTAGGAGGACGTCTGGCCCGGGGCTGGAACCATCTGCTGATTAGTGCTTTAGGCAAGTGTTCCCAACACTCTCAGTGGGACATGACAGATTGGGAGAGTGACAGCATGAATTCCTAGGTGAGTCTCCTGTCAAGGTGTCAACTAGTGTGGTAGAGAGAACTTCTGGCATCCTGGCCAGAGGAGACCTGCTGACCTGCTTGATAGTGAAACTGGTGAAAATTATTAAAACAAACATTTAAAGTTTCTAGAAATGGCCCTATGGGCAAACAAAGCAAAAACAAAATTACAGCTTTTAAACCAGTATGAGTAAAATTGATCTGTCCATAGAAAGCAAAGAAGGAAAATAAAAGTAAATGAGCAGCATGTAAAAATTAATGGTATTTCTACATGCTAATTGTGAACATGTGGAAACCAAAATTAAAGTCACAGTACCACTTCCAATCACTCTAAAGAAAATGAAGCTCTTAGATATTAATTTAACAAAACATGCACCGGATCTGTGTAATGATATTTACAAAGTGCTCATGAAAGAAATTAAAGAAGACTTAAATGCATGGAGAGGCAACAGAAGGCTCAGTACAGTGAAGCTATCAGTCTTCCCAAAGTTAAGCTATAGGTTTAACACAGTTCCTATAAAAATCTGAACAGTTTTTTTGTAAACAAGTTTACTATTTAATGTGTGTGTGTGTGTGAATGGAAAATACCTTGAATAGCTAAAATACTTTATAAAAAGAAGAAAAAGTGAGAAGTCACTCTACCCAGTGCCATGGATGATAATCTAGCTACAGTGATTAAGATTGGGTGGTATTGGTGGAGGGAGAGGCACATAGATTAATGGAATGGAAGAGAGAATCCAGAAATAGACTCACATAGCATGGCTGTCTGATTTCTCACAAAGGCACAAAAGCAATTTGTTAGAGGAAGGAGACCTTTGTCAACATATGGTACTGGTACAATGGGGCACCCTTAGGCTAAAAAATAACCCCAATCTAAGTCTCACAGAAAAAAATATACAAAAATTAATTCCATATGGACTTAAATATAAAAACTGTAAAATGAAACAAGAAGAAAGTATAGTTAATGAAAACTATGGAGTAAGATGGAAATAATAAAGATAATGTAACTGGGTTAAACTTACCAATTAGAAGAACTTTTTTTTAACAAGAAAACTTTTTTTTTTTTCAGAATAAAAGATAAACCTGATAATATATTATCTACACACAACATAAAATCAAAAAACACTGAAAGACTGAAAATAAAGAATGTTAGAAATTCTTCATTGATTTGAATGAAAAGAAAGCTAAGATAGTGATTTTAATAACTGATAAAATGGAAATCAATGAAAAATATCACAAACAAAAAGGATGGACATTAAATAATGATAAAAGAATCAATCATGTATAAATATATAATATGATAATATGTGCATCTAACAATATAATCTCAAAATATATAACCCAATAATTGACAGAAGTGCAGGGAGAAATAAGCAATTGTACTTGGAAGTTTCAACAAATTCTCTCAAAACCAAAAAATTAAACAGATTAAAGGTAAATGGATATATAGAAGATTTGGACAATAAAATTAATAAGCTTTTTGTTTTTTTTACCACACTAAGTTAGGTTCAGTTCAGTCACTCAGTCGTGTCCGACCCTTTGCGACTCCATGAACTGCAGCATGCCAGGTCTCCCTGTCCATTACCAACCCCTGGAGTTTACCCAAACTCATGTCCATTGAGTTGGTGATGCCATTCAACCATCTCATCCTCTGTCATCCCCTTCTCCTCCTGCTCTCAATCTTTCCCAGCATCAGGGTCTTTTCAAATGAGTCAGCTCTTCGCATCAGGTGGCCAAAGTATTGGAGTTTCAGCTTCAGCATCAGTCCTTCCAATGAACACCCAGGACTGATCTTTAGGATGGACTGGTTGGATCTCCTTGCAGTCCAAGGAAGGGACTCTCAAGAGTCTTCTCCAACACCACAGTTCAAAAGCGTCAATTCTTCAGCACTCAGCTTTCTTTATAGTCCAACTCTCAAATTCACGCATGACTACTGGAAAAACCATAGCCTTGACTAGACGCACCTTTGTTGACAAAGTAATGTCTCTGCTTTTTAATATGCTGTCTCGGTTGGTCATAACTTTCCTTCCAAGGAGTAAGCGTCTTTTAATTTCATGGCTGCAATCACCATATGCAGTGATTAACACACTAAGAACATTCACAAAAATTTACTGGTCCATGAAGGAAGCCTCAATAAATTCCAGGGGCTCAGAATGATATAAAACGTATCCTCTAGACAAAAGGCAATGAAAATAGAAATTAATAAAATGTTTTAATTGATGCAGACCCTCTTTTTTTTTGATGAGTCTGGCTAAAGATTTATCAGTTTTATTTATCTTTTCAAAGGTTTAGCTTTTAGTTTCATTGATTTATTATTTTTTTAAGTCTCATTTATTTCTGCTTTGATCTTTTTTATTTCTTTCATTCTAGAAACTTTGGGTTTTTGTTTGTTTGTTCTTCTTTTCCTAGTTCCTTTAGGTGTAAGGTTAAGTTGCTTATTTGAGATTTTTTTTTTTTTTTTTTTACTGAGGTATGCTTGTATCACTATAAACTTCCCTCTTAGAATTGCTTTTGTTGCATCCCATAGATTTTGGAATTCCCTGATAGCTCAGTTGGTAAAGAATCTGCCTGCAATGCAGGAGACCCTGGTTCAATTCCTGGGTCAGAAGATCTGCTGGAGAAGGTTTAGGTTACCCACTCCAGTATTCTTAGGCTTCCCTGGTGGCTCAGCTGGTAAAGAATCTGCCTGCAGTGTGGGACACCTGGGTTTGATCCCTGGGTTGGGAAGATCCCCTGGAGAAAGGAAAGGCTACCCACTCCAGTATTTTGGCCTGGAGAATTCCATGGACTGTATAGTCTGTGGGGTTGCAAAGAGTTGGGTACAACTGAGGAAACTTTATGTGGATAGATTTTGGATTATCTGACTTCAGATATTTTAAAATTTCTTCTTTGATTTTTTGAGTGATCCATTGGTGAGCATGTTGTTTAGTTTTCACATGTGTATATTTTTGCTTTTTTTTTTTTAAGTTGATTTTTAACCTCATAGCATTGTGGTTGGAAAATACACTTGGTATAATTGCAGTTTCCTTAAAGGCATTGAGACTTGTCTTGTGGCCTAGCATGTGATCTATCCTGGAGAATTTTCTATATGCACTTGAAAAGAAGGTCTATTCTGCTTTTGAATGGAATTTTCTGTATATGACTGTTAAGTCCATCTTATCTAATATATTGGTTAACGTCAATATTTTCTTACTGGTTTTCTGTTTAGATAATCTGTCCATTGCTATAAGTGGAGTATTAAAGTCCCCCACTGTGATTGTTTTATTGCCAAATTATCTTTTTTGTATGTTAACATTTGTGTTATATATTGAGGTGCTCCCAAGTTGAGGGCATATATATTTACAATTGTTATATCTTCTTCTTGGATTGACCCCTTGAGTATTATGTAACGTCCTTCTTTGTCTCATGTTACAGTCTGTGTTTTAAAGTCTATTTTGTGTCATGTAGCTATTCCTGAATGGATAAAAACTCAAGCCTCATCTATATGTTGTCTACAAGATA